TAGCTACAAATATATTTTAACATGAAAACATATTGTTAAATGTGTTTTAAAAACCATCACATTAAATCACAAATAAGCAAATAGGTTTTAAGTACTGCTTTCACTGAATACTGTGTCCACTTACATGTCTAAATCATTAACCTATAAGTGTCTTATATTGCTTTCTTCTTTAGACTCTCACTATTTAAATTAAAACAAAAAAGGTAAACTGAAAAGTAACCAGTAAGTTAAGGTACAAATAAAGTAGTAAACAAGTCCTGGTTTTATGTTGTATGCAGTATCCAAATGACATAGTGCATCTCTCTGCCAATAACCCATCAATTTAAATTTTAAACAAACTAAAAACCCAATAAATTGGAAAGCACAGAGATTTTAACATAGAAAAATTAAACCCAAATGCAACAGTCGTGTTACTGTTTTAGGTTTCCTTTAGAATTTGAACTCTGTGAAGTGGAGAGTTCGAGCTCAGGGCAGTACAGCAGCTCCACACACCAGATGGAGACCGCGATGGCACAGGGGAAAGGTCCAACTTCTCACTGAAGATAGTATCACACCTTATGTAAGCTTTTAGACACGGAAGATAAAACCAGTGCAGTTTGTACTAATGATAGATGTTACAGACACTGGTCGTTTTCATCCTTATCGGTGTGTCACGTCACTACAACTGTGTAAATGCAGAGCTGGCAGAACGTGAATTAAACAGCTCTGTAGCTGTAGCATCTACAGCTGGAACATAGTTATGTGTTCTCGGTGACTGTGGCTGAAGCTTGCTGTGTTCGTGTGTTTGTCCCATTTTCTTAAACGCAGTATATTTGAAATACTTCCAAATTTTTCACACACACTTAAAGAGGAAAGAACAGATTTGTTTTTTGAAGTCAAAGCTCAACATAGCCGTGGCCTTGCTTCTAGTTGGGAAATTCACTGGGAAACCTGAGAGGGATTAGCACTGCATCTTGCACAAATTTTCACTCAGGCTGTAGGAAAAAGTAAATTATAATTTAAATATTAGAAGCTGCTGTTATTTTTGTGTTTGTTTGTTTGTTTTAGGGTTTATGGCCATGACTCAAGAGTTAATCTGATTTTACCACATTTAACAAGAACATCTAAAGTGAGGAGATTTTTTTTTATCCAAATGTGCAAAGGTTAACTTCACTTTAATGACATGATGTTCTACAAAAATCACTTTTCAACTCAATGCCGTGACTCGGGAACACACGAAGTGCTTCTAAACTGCACCAAGATTGTTTAGCAGAAGAATTTATGAGTTTTCACAAGCTACCAGCAACCACTTAAAGATGTTTTTTTTTAATTTATACTTTACAATATAATATTGTAGTTTATCAAATTTTTGTCTGGATGGCAGAGCGTCTTTATCTTTCCCACAGTTGGACTGTGAAACTTGTGACATCTATAATCCTGCTAAAAAATCACTGTTGTGCTTAATATTTTCCTCCAACAACACACACAAATTACAGCAAATCAAGATAAGATGTCTGTTTTTTTTAAATATTATTGTCTTTTTTTCTATTCTCACAATCTTATTTTGAACATGTTTGCTTGCTGACATTAGGTCAGAGTACAAAATCCAAGTATAAGAAAGTATTAGGAGTTTTTTCAACCTACATAACAAACACTTAACACTTAATTTCACTATACTAAATACATAGCTGCTGGATTTACCTGAGATAATGAAAGAGGGGAATAAGACTATATTGCAATCCAGTAATTATTTGTACAGATCAGCCCGGCTTTAGCACGATGTTACTGCAGTCATATGCAAAACGTTTTTGGTTGAAGCACAAATGTTGTGTTTAATGTGCTTTGTGAAGAACCTCCATACACATTGCATACTTTCTTTTCAAGGATTGAACACACTCAAAAGCCCTCGAAGATCTTCAAAGACCATCTTCTTTCATTCTGATCTAGAATCTGTGATCAGTATTTAAAAAACAAGCTGACAAGCAAAAGCCTACAAACATTTTGCTGGACTTTACTGCCTGGCATAAATGTAAAATGAATCCACATCAATTAATCTGACTTCAGTTATATTTATAAAGTGCCAGTTCACAACAACACTTACACCTGGTAATATACGAGAGAGAAACCCAACGATTCCCTGTGAGCAAGCACTTGGTGGTATTTTCGATATCAAACCTTTACACATCTCTCCCGGTGGAATCCCTTAATCTCACATATGCACTCTTTATCTACAGCATTAGAAATGTTTCCCGGGAGTGAGAACGACTGACTCAATCCCAAACGGCTTCAAACTCTTCAACAACCTCGTGTCACTGCCGTCCCAGTGAATCATATCACCTCACCCACGTCTTGTACATACTTGCTCCAGCTTGCGTCATCAGATAAACAAAGAAATAAATAATAAAAAACATCCAGTCAGTCAATCTTTTCTCTGTACATTTGATTTATTTATTTTTATTATTTCTTCTGGCGCTTCTGGATGTGTTGTTGAAATCATTCAGCTATGCTTTTTTTTTCTCTTTTCCCACATATCGTTTAGTGTTCATCATTAGTGACCTTCTCCTGAAGGATAAAATTATAACACAGGGACTGAAAGACATCTCAAAACATTTTTTGGACTCAGCTAGTCTGAAGATTTCATATTCGGAGTCTTCGTGCATTTTGACCAGACTAATCATGTGTATCAATGATTGCTAAAACATAAAGCTTAAGCATAACGTCTTATCTGAAAAGCTGCACATTAATACCTGCCAAGCTGCTGGGCTCTCATCTTTCCCCTGCTGTGCGATGGAGAAGATGGCGGGGTTTCCTCTGCATGGAGGGTGATTTTCTGCTTCAGCTCATTACACCTGAGAGAAAACTGACAGCAGGCACAAAGGAGAGAGCTCATTTGAGTGGGCATCGTCCAGTCACCATCATTAGTCTATAGATGCATATCATGTAACTGTGTCTGTGTATGCATTTTTATACTATGACCTGAGGTTTCTTTCCTTGTGGAAGGGGGCAAATAAATACTCTTAAATATGTCTTTTTCCATTTATGAATTTGTTATTATAATTTGTCATGTGATCATCTCGCTTGGAATAACAGAGCAGTAAGAGACACAAACCCATCACCAGTGTATTGCAGGAAAGTTAGAATTATTGAATTTATCATGGCAATGCATTCTGTATATGAAGTGGTATGGCTGGGTTCATGCAGACAATACACTATATGGATGAGGTAGGGTGTTAAATATGTATGTGGTTGTACTGTACATTAAAATGGATAATTAAATGGATAATTGTATTTCATGACATATTATAAAGCAGTACCTTTGGACAGGTGTAGTTATATAATCATCAATCTAACAATATATGTGT